ATATATATATATATATATATATATATGCTGTGAGGTTAAACAGTAAGAACATGGTTCTTAGTTAAACATTCATGAAATTCCAAGAACAGCAACATATTAGTTTATTGCACTATCTAGAAACTTTCAGAAATAAAGATTACTTTCTGAATAAAATTTTCCTGAAGATACTGTGATTATAATGAAATCTGTAACAATTATTTAGAATAAAGAACTATTTTTTAGCTTAAATCTTGTATTTTGATACCCTTTGGTTGCAATGGAGCCTGTAACAAATGCTTGACATGAACTGGAAAGAATATACAATAATAACAGTGTTTCATTTCAAGATACAGCAAACATCACAATTAGGTTAAGACAGAAGGATAGAGCACTCTTAATCTCTATTAGGTTGCAAGTCATGAAATACTATTTTGGTAGTTCTGTATCTTGAACAGTAAATAGCCATTCTTAATTACTGAACTTGGACAGAATTTTGTAAAACATGAAATTGTCAGTTACTTCTTGTCAGATATTTTTATTCCGATATAGCTATAGCAATTCATAGTTTCATCAGTTCACACTAAACCAAGACTGAGGTAGTAGCTTCGAGAAGTATTTAGCTTGGTATGTATATATACATATATATTTTGGCAATCAAGTTAACATTTTTTACAAAACAATAACCATCATAACACATATTGAAGAACAGTAACTTCGAAAATAAGATACAGTTAGTAAGATTATTTTTTTTACTTGCTAAACAAGTAGCACTTCTTTTATAGATCAATAATTTGTGAAGTTTTCCAGTATAAACCCACCACAGTCTACGCTATATTAATCCTGTGGGCTTGCCATAATCTTCTACAGAGTGCCATTCAACATGGTATTATTTACTTGATGTCAGAGTTATATTCTACATTGTTGGTTTAACAACAGTTTAGGGTATAGGAGAGGAGAGGATATACCAAATAGACTATGTAGGGATACTGAAAAAACCCCTGTAGAATTGTATGTTGGAGATTCCAGAGGTTATGCAAATTCAAACTGTACAATAAACAAAAGTATTTTTATTCTTCACGTGAACATCGTCTTGCACTCCAACTTAGACTGGCGTCATCATTTCACAGACATATCTTAGGTACCACTAGAAATTGGTCATTTTTGCCTCTTTTACTGGGCTTCTAAACTAATGCTAGATTAAACTTTAGTTACAAAGAATCAAATTAAAGTGCAAGATCTTTTTTTTTCACATCAGTTATCTTACATTTCAATTTTGCCATTAGAAAATGTATTACAGCAACTAGACACTGTTTTGCCTTAACTTCCTAAAAATAGTTTTTCTTTGAAAAATCTTAAACTTTTGGTTTCTTAATAAATATAATAATGGCAAAAACAAGAAAGAACTTGACGCACCTTACAGATCAACTGGTAACAAATAACTAGTTCTTATTAAGTTTGATAAAGATAACAATCCTGCCATTATTAATATAATATGAGTGGGAAAAGTTTGTTAAATAAAATAAATACTCTAATAATACTAGAGATGCTAAGTTCCCAATATATTTACTTAAAACTAAAACAAGGAAGTGAATATAAACAGATTAGACCTGTTGGATCACCAATCAGGGATATTATTTTAGGAATTGTTAAGATACACAAAAAAAAAGTCCATTAAGACCAATAGTTTCATTTTAGGAACTTATAATAATAAATTTTCTAGCTTTTAGCAAAGCTGAAAAAGAAGGGTGTCCAGTTAGACCAATTATGATTTCCCTGTAAGCATTAATAACTTTCTCAGTGAGAAGAACCAGCTGGCCAAACTTATAATACTAGATGAAATAAAAATTACTATTAGTCACTGTGACAAAATGTAGGTTGTACCTGTAGTACTATAATGAACACTGAATACAGTTGCTTTCTTTTGTCAACTTCAACACAAGTAATTCAAACATTATAGAATTATGCAATTAGAAATGCTAAAAGTTCTTTCATTAAATATGTAAAATATATGCCTTCAAACAACCACAAATGATAGAATTTTTTCATTCATGCATGAGTATCTACAGCAACAGACTACTTGAGTCTTTCCTTTCAATGACTTAATTATAATACGGTTTTAGACCACTTGACAGGAAAATTAGTTTAAAAAGTATATACAAACTCTTAACTCACTGATAAACCATGTAAGTGATAAGATAACCTTTTAAAATGAAAGTGAATAGACCTTTACTAATTTATGAGATGGTATTTCTGAGGACAGTTTGTTATTGGTAAACTCATTCTTGAAGAAAAAAGGAGAAACAAATAATATGAGGGAGCAAATAACTGCAATCTCTCATCATATTGTTCCACAACATATCATTAGCACCAATAGTCTAAATTTAGGGACTTCTACTCATAAGTTGTTTAACATAGTTTTTTGGTCCACTTATAAAACAAAATTGTATACAATGATAGGTAGTTCCAAGGTTCACAAATTGATAAAAGTATTGTTATATACTAATTAACTCTTAAAAGAACAACAGAAATGTTTTGTGATGATCTTGAACTTCACATACTAACAGACTCTTACAAAAAACAAATTAGGTGTATTGTGAATTAGTTTTGGTTTAATAAAATCTATTTTTTTGCTAAATTAATGTTGTTAACTATAAAAGAATTTTATGTTAATTTTAATGGTGGAATCTATGACTAGATTGGTGTAGTCAGTACATGTTTAAAGTTAGCACTACCAATAAATAACTTCTTAATGATTGCCCCGATATGATGGTTTTAAACTGGTTAACAACAAGAGATGGAGATATGTTGACACTTCGGTCACCTTTAAATCAAAAAGTAATGTTATTTTGTTTCAACAATATCTAAATAGTAAACAAGTTAATATTCTAGAATGGGAATAGGCAAAAAAAATTTTCTGAATCCAATGCTGGGCACTAAAGGAGGGTGGTTAGGAGCATACTCCTTTGGAAAAAAATTCAAAACTACAAGTTCTCTGGTGCATTCTCCTTTCCCTTTTTCAATATATTTGAGAGATATTATGCCTTTAAAGTTAAGAGTAATTTATCCAAGTTAAGTTGATCATTTGACAGTTCTATGTGTTTTTTGTAAATCTATGTGTCAAAATTGTAGAGCAACCCCATGAAGTCCAGTTTATAAATTTGTTGCATGTTATGCATAAAGCTTTTTCTAGTTAAAATGAACCTTTTTAATGGATTCTCCTAGGTTTGGATTCACTACTTATGGTTTACTCCCAATAACAAATGTAATTTTTTAGTTCTTTCTCCAGTTGGTTCATGCAAATTTGTTTCTAACTATCAACTTTTCTAACCCTCACTTTATTATGATACTTGATAACCTTTGCCATTTTTTGTAGTTTATTCTATCCTTAAATTAAACTAATGTGTAAATTTTCAATGAATTCTGTGCAAGAAAATTCCATGCTGTAAACACACCATTCTGTGAGACCAAACACATGTATCAAGTATAGTCTGATTGGTAAAATATTATGGTAGTTTTACACAAAATATTTAAATGTAGAGAATATGTTTTTGTTGTGGAAAACTGAAATATCGTGATGCTTGTTTATGAAAACTTGACTTTCAGCATGTTACTGGAATGGTAGAATGAGAATTTGAATAAAAAATACAGTTGCTCATAATAGCACAAGTTTAAAATTTAAGGTTTATCATAAGCCTACCTTTACAGCACTGTACACAGTATCCCAAGCTTTTCATATAAATGAACTTAAAATTGTATAACTTGGACATACAGAATCACTAGTTGTTATAAGTTGTCTCCCAGAGGTCAAGAGGGCCAATAAATTTTTACAAAGAAACAAGTTGCCAAGTTGATTATTGATAAACATGTAGGCAATGAACATAACAAAGCTATCACCAGTCTTATTCCACAAACTGATGTTCATTTAAGGGTTAACTGGAATTGTGTTACCATATGTTGGAGGGCATTAATGAAACTAATTGGACATATAAAACCATAACTATAATTAACACATATTTTCAAACTTAGTTATTAGAATCAAATATATTTACATTTTAAGATAGTGAACTTTATTTGGTTGTGAGGTCCACTATTAGGTCTCTCTTCACATGCAGTGTTGCACAGCCGTTTCATGTATTTGTAGTTTGTAAAACTAATTTTGATTCCAATCATTTTAAGATTGTACATGGAGCACAAAGTGAGCAACAACTCAAAGATATTAAACTGAAAGTAAATCCTCCACCTCCTAAAATAACTGTATTCACAAGCTTTCAGCTTTATCATGAACCATTTTCAAGAAACAAAAGAAAAACAAGGCCTAAGGTAAATCAAAACAGCTACGTTAAAATTGTAATAATGATGGAACAGTGAACTCTTGGTGAGCTGTTAGAAGTCTTTCAATTTAATATCTTTCAGTTGTTGTTCACTTTCAGACCTTAGTTTAAATTTAATATGAATATAGTTTAAATCATTTCAATTTTTATTGTCATAGTTTGATGAATTACGTTTTAGTGTCTTCATGTTTAAGTGTAGTCCAGCATTAATTTAATTTAAAAGAAACTGGTTTCAAGTCCATTAGCTCATTTTTTTGGACATTCTGCTGGAATTATTTTCATGATATTTTAATAATTATTATCTATACTTTTTAAAACTTCAATTTTCAAAATTTTGTGGATAATAACATAATGTTTTGGGACCTATTGGTCCATCTTGGCTGCCCCATCTTCTAAAAATAAACTTATCAATAAATAAATTTAAAAAATAATCTTAAAGCCAGCCCTTATCATTCATATACTTATCCAGCTTTCTCTTAAACTCAAATTTACTGCCTCCACAACATCCGAGGACAACCCATTCCAAAGGCCAACCACCCTGTTAGAAAAATAGAACTATCTTAGC